CCAGGGGCTGAGGCAGGAGAATCAGAGGACCAAGATTATCCTCAGTGGACCAAGGTCATCCTCAGGGACCAAGATTATCCTCAGTGGACCAAGGTTATTCTTAGGGACCAATGCCATCCTTAGCTGCTTAAAATGAATTGCAGGCTAGCCTGGGCTGACACTTGGTCTCAAAACTGCAAAACAGTAATGCATGAACGCATTCTCTCTCTCTCTCTCTCTCTCTCTCTCTCTCTCTCTCTCTCTCTCTCACACACACACACACACACACACACACACACACACACACACACACACGTTTCCTGTTGCATTCTAGCAATATATGCAGAGTACTCATACTCTCCATTGAGAGGGGTAAACTGAGGCATGGGAGGATGAGGTGGCTGGTTCAGAGTTGCACCGCTATGAGTGGTAAAAACAGCAGATCTTTCCCCTCGTTCATTCAGAACATCTTTTTTGTTTGTTTGTTTTGTTTTCCTAGACAGGGTTTCTCTGTGTAGCCTTGAGTGTCCTGGACCTCACTCTGTAGACCAGGCTGTCCTCGAACTCACAGAGATCCACCTGCCTCTGCCTCCTGAGTGCTGGAATTAAAGGTGTGCTCCGCTGCTACTGCCCTGCATAACTTTTTCGTCTTGCTGTTGTTTGTTTAAGATTGGTTCTTACTTTAGCTCAGTCTAACCCAGAAATTACTGTGTAGCCCAGGCTGTCCTAAAACCCGTGACAATTCTCCTCCTGAAGCCTCTTAAGCACGAGGATGACAGTTGCCAGCCGTCACGCCGTCTTCAGGGTGATAAGTTCAGAAGGTATGAAATTTGCTCTGATGGGGTGACATGGGGGGACGAGGGGAGAGAGGGGACGGTGCATCTTGATTTGATTGTCAACTCGATAGGATCTCACTAAGAAAATGTTTCCCTAAGGAAACAAACTTTTGTTTGTTTGTTTTTTAAAGTAATGTATTTATTTAATTTTATGTGCATTGGTGTTTCGCCTGCATGTATGTTTGTGTGAGGATGCCAGATCTCCTGGAACTGGAGTTACAGACAGTTGTGAGCTGCCATGTTGCTTCTGGGAATTGAACCCAGGTCCTCTGGAGAGCAGCCTGTGCTCTTAAGGGCTGAGCCAACTCTCCAGCCCTGGAAACAAACTTTTGGACATGTGGGGCTATCTAGATTAGTTGACTAGGTGGGAAGGTCCCCTTCTGAATATGCTGTCTTTACGTTAGTTTTCTGAAGGATTTTGTTACAGCTACCAGCAGACCAGTGTGGAGGGGTCTCCAGTGGGGACTGACCACTTTGCACACACTGTACCCAGGGCTGTGTTCATTGGTTAGGCAATATTGTTATTTATTGGAGGGGGTGCACGTGTGCCATGTGTGAATGTGGAGGTCAGAGGGCAACCTGCAGGACTCAGGTCGTCAGGCTCGGTGCCTTTACCTTCTGGGTCACCATCTTAGTCCAAAATTGCCCACTGTTTCAATTTTATTTCATTATTTTAAAAGAACTTTTTGGTGGGTGGTGGTGGCACACACCTTTAATCCAGCACTCATGAGGCAGAGGCAGGCAGATCTATGAGTTCAAGGCCAGCCTGAGCTACAGAGTGAGTTCCAAGACAGCCGGGGCTACACAGAGAAACTCTGTCTTGAAAAAACAACAACAAAAAGAAACTGTCTTGAAACACCCCCAAAAACAAAAACAAAAACCAACCGTGTGTGTGTGTGTGTGTGTGTGTGTGTGTGTGTGTGTGTGTTTAGGTTTGCTCTACATATTTAACCCTGTCTCAAGAGCAAACCAAGGCTGGAGGGCTGGGACCAGGGCTGTGGGTAGAGTGCTTGCCTAGCATGCACCAAGCCCCAGGTTCCGTCCCCAGCACCACATCCCCCAGGCATGGTGGAGCATGCACCTGCAATCCCAGCATTTGGGAGGTAAAGCAAGAGGACCAGGAATTCAAAGTCATCTTTGGATACACGGGGAGTTAGAGGCCAGTCTCCTTACATAGCAAGCTCCAGGCTGGAATACATGAGATCCTGCACTGTTTTTTTTTAAGGATGTGGCAGGTGCTGAGACATGGGTAGTTAAGAGCATTTGCTGCTCTTGCAGAGGACTCAAGTCTGGTTCCCAGTGCCCTTGTATAGTAGGTCAAAACTGTTTATTCTGCTAGTTTCTGGGGTTCTGATTCCTTCTGACCTCGTTAGGCATTCACACTCAGAGACACACCCCTTCAAGGTAAATAGAAGTAAATCTGTGAACAACAAAACAATAGCAAGGCTGGGTATGTTGGTAACATTGTACCCATTGTTCTGGAAGCAGAGACAGGAAGGTCATTTGAAGTTCAAGTCTAGCCTAGGCTACATCCTTGCCAGTTCATACCAGCCAGGGTTACAGGGTGAGCCCCTATCTCAAATCAAGCAATCCACAGCAAGCAAACAAACAAAACCCTGAGGTCAGTAGATTAGTAATCCTGAAGCAGGGTGGGTTTAAGGATGTTTATATTATTTGAAGATAGCTGTCTTTTCTCGAGCTCACAGTTTTCTCTCCTTCCCCACAAGCAGTCATTCCCAGCCCTGATCTGTTTCCTGTCTCCGTGGGCTGGACTGTCCTGGGACCAAACATGATGCAGCCTTTAGTGCTTGCCTGTCCCTGACAATGCAGTCTCTTCATTCCAGGTTTATCAATGTGTGTAGAATTTTTCATGGCTACATAATATTCCACTGTGGAGATCTAGATTTATTCTGGTTCCTTTGGAGAGGCAGTTCTGTAGTCCAGGATAACCGTGAAATCAGGATCCCCTGCCTCAACCTGTTGAGTGCTGGTATCACTGGTGTGTGCCACCTTGTCTGAGTGAGATCTACAATCTGTGGGGCAGAGCAAATACCTGTGTGTGTGTGTGTGTGTGTGTGTGTGTGTGTGTGTGTGTGTGTGTGTGCGCGCGCGCGCTCAGGGGTGTACCCGGTACATGTGAGTGTGGAGGTCACAGGTTTGACGTGGAATGTCTTGCTCTATTTCTCTCCAATTTATTTGTTTATCCATTCACTTGTTTTTGAGACACCCTCATCGTTTTGGCTAGACCAGCTGGCTAGCAAGACATAGGACTCTGGACTGGGCAGTGGAAGAACTCACCTTTGGTCCCAGCACTTGGAGGCAGAGGCAGGCTGAACTCTGAGTCTGAGGCCAGCCTGGTCTGCAGAGTGAGTTCCAGGAATATCAGGGCTACACAGAGAATCCCTGTCCTAACCAGAGAGACAGACAGACAGACAGACAGACAGACAGACACAGGGCTCCACCTGTCTCTGTCCTCTGCACTGGGGTTATAGGAATGATACAATGACACTGCACATGACTTCTACATGGGTCCCAGGTCTCAGAGGCTTGTGAAGCAAGCACGTCCTATCCTGAGGCTCCCCCACTCCCCAGGCCCAGCCCTGTCTTCTGTAGCCCAGGCTGATCTCCATCTGGTATGTAACTGGGGTGAACCTTGAACTCCTAAGAGCTGAGAGTACAGGTGTGCACCGACTGCCATGCCTGGTTTATGGGATGCTGGGGTCAAACCCAAGGTTTCCTGCATGCTAAGCAAGCATCCTACCTATCAACTGAGGCACAGCCCCAGCCCCTAAAATCAAGGGTTCCAGTCAAGGCTGCACATATACTCCTGCCCACAGTAGGAGTATCCTAAACACATGGCCCTGGTGTGCACCCTTAAAATGATAGGACCAAGTGAGTGATGGGTGAGTGAGTGAGTGATGGGTGAGTGAGTGAGTGATGGGTGAGTGAGTGAGTGATGGGTGAGTGAGTGATGGTGAATTAGTGACGGTGAGTGAGTGATGGTGAGTGAGTGATGGTGAGTGAGTGATGTGTGAGTGAGTGAGTGAATGATGTGTGAGTGAGTGAGTGATGTGTGAGTGAGTGATGTGTGAGTGAGTGAGTGAGTGATGGTGAGTGAGTGAGTGATGGGTGAGTGAGTGATGGTGAGTGAGTGATGGTGAGTGAGTGATGGTGAGTGAGTGATGGTGAGTGAGTGAGTGATGGGTGAGTGAGTGATGGTGAGTGAGTGAGTGATGGGTGAGTGAGTGATGGTGAGTGAGTGAGTGATGGGTGAGTGATGGGTGAGTGAGTGATGTGTGAGTGAGTGATGGTGAGTGAGTGATGGTGAGTGAGTGATGGGTGAGTGAGTGTGATGGTGAGTGAGTGATGGTGAGTGAGTGATGGTGAGTGA